CATGATAGAGGTGTTATTGTTGTGGTAGCTGCTGGAAATGAAAATCAAGATACTTGCAATGTATCTCCAGCCGCAGCTGAAGGAGCAATAGCTGTTGGTGCTACTGAACTTTCAAATGATAAAAAAGCCGACTTTTCTAATTTCGGAAATTGCACAGATATATTTGCATCTGGTAAACTTTTTTTTATTTCCCACCTTTTTGTTAATAACGATCATAATAACATTAATATAATAATGATGATGATAAATGTCTTTATAGGAAGGGATATAAAATCAGCTTCGTTTAAATCTCCTTTTGGTTCTCAAACGGCAAGTGGAACAAGTTTTTCTGCTCCTCATGTTGCCGGTGCCGTCGCTTGTATCATCGCCAAGGAAGATTTAAAACCTGACGAAGCGGCTCAAAAACTTGACGAAAATTCCACAAAAGGTGTTGTTTTAGGACTTGATAAAGATACTCCTAATAAATTTTTGTTTGTTAAAGGTTCAGGCCCAGAAAAACAATAGAAATTTAATGATCTAAATAGATTTGTTATTTAACCAAGGAATTAGTCGCAATGCTGCGGGGTTTTTTTTGTCAAAAAAAAAAAAATAAATATTTTTCGAATTTATTTTAATGAAGTAAATTTTAACAATCCATTTTTTCACATATTCTATTTATAAATGTAAAGTTTTCATTAAAAATGCTGAGATAAATTAAACTTGGAAATGATATATATTTTAAAATTCATAATTCCATGAAAATCACGTGCTTTGATTTTTAGCTTGAATGTTACTGATGGTACCCAATTAACATCCACAACAGAGAGTCAAAACAACCTAATATGGTGTCATTTATTTAATATCCGTTATCGTGATAATTCATGGTCAGCATGATCCTGATTGCATGGTCCCGCTTTTTTTTTTTTGATTTATTACGTTTCCGATAGTTAAAATTTAATGTGTCAGACAAAAATTTTGTACTCGTTCATAAAAAAACTTATTATAATTAGTAGCACCAGATTTCTGAAGTCATTCAGCCGCTACAATTATTATAGTCGACTATTATCAATCATTCGACTTATAAAAATTTTTCGTTGATGGATCGGTTAAAAATAAATCACTTTTTTATTTTTTATAAATTCTCACTTTTTTTGCCAAGAGTGAATTCATTCTAAGGCTTCAAGATTTGCAAATGTTTTTTTGTTTTTTGTTTGTTAAAAATTACGGTTAACCTTTTTAAGATTTTCCATTTATGTCCTCTGCGATGAAAAAGATTTGATCATTTTTACAAATAATATGATCACGTGATTCCAGGATATCCTTTTTTTTCATAGGGAACCTATTTATAAAAAAATGGGCGTAATGAACTCCCTCATTTTAGTAGGTACTTTGTGACAGGAAAAATATTTTTAAATATTTGCTTGCTCACGTAACAAATAATAATGAATAAGACTTTTCCTAAAAAGTTTCTAAAGATCTTTATTAAAAGCTTTAATTATAAGTATCTATTCTCTATGAATAAATGGATAATCCCATAGTAGTTATTATGTAACCAAGTTTGGTTAAGCTCACGTTGAATTGTTCATAGAAACGTTTTAGCAAAATAAATTATACCTTAAATGTAAGAAATAATAATTATGAAATGTTTTTTTCCACAGAAAAAAAGTGCGCTAGAGATTATCTTTATCTTCGTGAAACCAGTAAAATACATTCTTTTAATTAGTTTCCTTTACGACATCGGTAAAGAAATAAATCCAATTTACATAAATAAGCCCGCTTGCAAAAAAAAAAAAATTTTTCTTATTCACTCTCAAATTAATGATGATTTTCTGTAAATTTTTAAAGATTTTTTCATCTTTTGCATTCATCTCACTCTTTATAACATTTATTGAACCTGCGGAAATTGATTGTCCAAAGGAACCTACTAATCCAAATGAACCTTTGAAATCTTATGTGGTTTTATTTAAAGCCTCTTTTAATCCTCCGATTTCCAATTCTTCTGCTACCGTTTGGGAAAATCATGTCAACATGATAAAAAAATGTTTAAATAAACAAATGATAAAATCTTATGAACATATTAACGGTCTTCCAAATGGCAATGAAATGATTTATGATTTTAGTGTGGAGGGTCAATTCACAGGCTACTCTGGAAAATTCACCGACAGTTTCATGATAAATCACGTGTTAACGATTAGTGAACTTTTAATGGTTGCAGATGTTTCCGTTACAATAAAAGATGGTATTAGGTTTGAAAAGAGAAATAAACCCAAAGTTAATATAAAGTCCGAGCCTACTCATCTAAAAGTTAGTGTTTAGAATATTCTTTCACTTTTTTTTTTTTTTTAAGGAAGAAAATAAAAAAATGATTCGATTTTTAATGAATTGTAGCATCTTGATCGTATCGATCAAAAAAACTTTCCACTAGACGGAAAATATTCATACCCCTCTAGCTCTGGCAAAGGAGTGAATGTTTACATAATTGACACGTAAGTCCAAATAATCGATGAACATGTAGCTTTAAATATTAATTTTTATTTTATTTGTCTTTTTAGCGGAATTAACGTTAAACATGTAGATTTCGAAGGAAGAGCTAAATTCAATGCTGTTTTTTGTGATGGGTGTCCATTATTAGATGATAATGGGTAAACATTTTATTAAATAAAAATTTCTGGCTTTTCTTTATAAATATATTTACACGTAAAAATAATTTGGTTCATTAATTATTATAGTCATGGTACAATGGTTGCCGGTATTGTAAGTGCAGGACGACTCTATAAATTTTGACAATTTGTAAATCTTTCTCAGTTTTTTTTATTAATTAATAGATTGGTGGCCATTTCTTTGGTGTCGCAAAAAAAACAAATTTAATTGGTGTCAAAGTATTAAATGCTACAGGTTCTGGCACAACGGTAGACTTTCTTAACGCACTTAGCTATGTTATTCATCAACATGTAAAGTCCGAGAATAAGAAAACGGTGATCAAGTACGTATAATCCAAGAAATATATTTTACGCGTCAATTGATCACGTAGCGTTTAAAGTTCATCTCTTGAATTCTTTTGAACAGCTTGTCCTTTAGTTTTGAAAGTAAAATGGAAGCCGTTAATATGTTGGTTGAAAAGGCCATAGGTCTTGGTATAATCATTGTTGTAGCTGCTGGAAATGAAGCAAACGATGCTTGTGGTTCATCTCCGCCCTCGGTTCCAGATGCCATAACCGTTGGCGCCACTGAACTTAATAATCACATTGCAAATTTTTCTGATTTTGGTCCTTGTGTTGATATATTTGCTCCTGGTATTTATATTATGTCACGTTTTGTAATTTTTATTTTTTATGTTTTTTAAAGAAAAAATTTAACCATTCATACCGGTTTATCAGGAGTAGATATAGAAACAACTGGACCAGATTCTCCGCTAGATACTCGAATTGAAAGTGGAACAAGTTTGTCTGCCCCAATTGTTACCGGTGCCGTTGCTTTGTTACTCGGTGAGAAATATTTGTCTACTGATGAAGTAACCAAAGAACTTATTAAAATTTCGACGAAAAATGTTATCAAAGGTCTTGAAAATTTACCAGAAACTCCCAATAGATTTTTACGCGTTCCCTATCCCTGATTATTAATATTACTTCTAATAATAATAAATGTACGATATCTCCATCC